GTCATCGTCCCATCAGCATCATCGTCATCGTCATCATCGTCGTCGTCTTCGTCGTCGTCGTCGTCGTCATTGTCGTCGTCGCCATCGCCATAAAAACTTTGGTTTCTTTTACCATTTCTATTGCCAGTTTTTTTAGGGGCCACATAGTATCCGAGTAAACGCATTTCCTTTTTTTCTTTTCTATCGAGGCTGTGATTTAACGAATCACGCAAGTATTCGTACAGTAAGAAGCCGTTAGCAGAAGGAGCTACATTTTTGTCTGGTCATTTTTTTATTTTTTCGGTGCAAGAAATACCCTATATAATTTCGCAAGTTTCAAGTGCATTGCATAACACTGAAGGCTAGTTTAGATTTTCCCGTTACATTTATACGTTCTGTAAAAGACTGAGAATTCTTTGAAAAGAGAGATTTAAGAAAACGCACGTTAGGCTGACCTTTAACGTACAAATTCTATAAAGATGTCTCTATTGAAATCGATAGAAAGATTGTATTCGCCTCTTACTGTACGCAACTACGTTCGATTTCCCTTGAGAAATTCAATTGGTAGGCGTTTCGGATGACTCGTGTTCAGGAAGGTAGTTTTGTTTATCGGTGCAATATCGGTGTTGTGTTTTTGTATGTTTATCGCGTAAAAGATGCGCGGCGGTTCGACTGTGAATACACGCTTCTCCAGTTTTCCCTGTCCGATGTAAAACGAGATCGTGGCCAACGAGAAGCGATCGAATCGCAAGATAGATACGAGTAATTACGTCAGCGTGGTGTACTGGCACTTGCACGGGCAACCCGAGAAGCGTGTTACGTCTACGCAGATGCATATTAATTTGCGTGTCGTTTTACCGCAAAATATTTCGTCAGTCGCGAATATTGCACGCAAATGCGTTCACTTGGGGCGTACGACATTACAGATGAAACCGACTATATACACTTGCCATAATGTGCACTCATATTATACATATATCTGTATATGTTTACGTGTGTATACCTATCTATATATACTATAACATGTATATACATATATATATATATATATCTCTCTTCCGAATTTCAAAAGAACACGATTATTCAAAGAAATGATCGCGACTGTTCTGTCTATGCCTTTAGCTTCAACTGGTCTGTTTTCTTTTTTTGATTTTTATCTTGCCCTCTTCCGCCTGACGATGCTTCTTCACGCTTGCTGACAAAACCTTCGTGCGCTTCGCTACCTGCCAATTAACGCCTGCCGACAAATCACGCCGATCAAATATCCATGCGCCCGGACTACGAAACGTCCAACGAACGTTCGAATGAAAATTAATCGATCGATGATCGCAAAACGCGCACGCAAAACGAATGAAACCATTCGTATGGAAATAAATGAATGAACAAAAAAATTAAACAAAATACAAATAAACACGCGCGCGCATACGCACGTGACACGTGACAAAAACTGTGTGCGCAACGACGGTCGTCGTTGCTTCCACGGGCACACATGGAACAATGAAACGACTATGACCGTGATCGATACACGTGCACACGTGGGAACGATGCGCTGCGGAAACGGTGTGTCCGTACGACCATGAAAATAACAAATCAAACAAACCATATGGAAAATATGAAAAATAATACTGTCCGTGAAACACGGGAACACTTGGACGATCTGTCGTACGAAATCTGAAAATAAAAAGCAGACGGCGACGATGCCAACGAACGTGGCGGGAATGAGCGCGTTGGCTGGCGGAGTGTCAGGAGTTCCCGCGACTGCGGTTCCCGGAGGACTTCAGAGCGCCAGTATGGCGAGCATCGAACTCGGCAAGAAGCGGATGCGCGACTCCAATGATGATCTGCTAATGGTACCACGGCTTATGCATGAAGTACACTTTCCTTTTCTCGTAGCTGGACCTTACGAAAATGGCCCCCATCGAGCTTTCTCTAGCCAGGACGATCGAAGGACACATTTCTTGCCTTCAACTTGTCAATCGGACCATGGAATTTCTCACTCGTTTTCCTCCCCTCTGTCCTCTTTCTTTTACTCGACTCGGTCGATCGCCAAAGCATTCTGCATTCTTCTGTTTTCTCTTTCTTTATGCTTACACGTGGTTAGAGATTCACCTTTGTTTATGGTTTACGGTGTATGGTGTATGGTGTACGGTTTATGGTTTATGGTTTATGGTTAACTGTGCTCGGAAAATCGCTCGTGATCGAGACATTGCCTGGTTAACCGTTCAACTTCGAGCTTCGAGTTTCTTGGGAAATATCAGTGTCAGGGACCGTTAATCGACCAGTTCGATTTCCATGAAACCCAATGAGCGTAAATGAGCGTACACGACCGCAAACAAAAGAAACGTCGCAAAGTTCCGGGGGCCATTTTCCGTAAGTTCCTCGTAGTCGTATCTTTAAGTTACGAATATAGTCATTGCGATTGTGAATACACTGCCGAGCGCGCTTAGAGCTCTAGCTCCTGTTTCTCATTTTTTTTATTTCTAACAAGACCCGCTGGATTTTTCTGTTTGGCCTCGGGGCAACGGTACACGGTCCTCGAGGAATATTTTCCGCGTGTTCCGGTCGCACGCTCCGTAGGGCTCGAGAATCCGCGTTATTCGACCCGGTACTTTTAATTTCACCGCACATATTTTCCGCGAACCTCTCTTTCTCTCATTTTCCGTTCCCCCTTCTCTTTCCTTTCGTTTCCTTTTCTCTTGCCTTCTTTTTTATACGATATCCACATCTATCGCATTCGTACGTACGCCATTGGATTCTTCGTGAGAAAAAGAAACATTTATTTCTCGGTTTCCGTTCTTCGAGTTTCCTCGTTAATTTCGCTTCGTACTGTCATTCGTTGCAATGTTGTCCGTATCGGAGCTTACGCCTCGTAATGTATTTATTGATCGCTTTATTGTTCGTTTCTCGATCATCAGCCACGAATTAGCTGACCGTTGGAACTGAAAATTCCTGTTCGAAGTTAAATGCAAAACGTTCGTGGTTGTTGATACCAGTGTACTATTGATTTTAAACCGTTTGAGCGCCGCGTACATTTGTCGTCATTTTTACGAGCTTTCCTTGAACTTTTCATAATTTTCCATAATCGTCGCGAATACATTTCGTACGAAACGTTGAAGAAAAGACACGCGTCTAATGAGTAGTAGTAGTAGTAGTAGTACTTTTACTCGGCATCGCTCGAAAAGACTCGCAATCACGATTAGAGCCGGATCTCTGGAATGACTCGTGGCACTCAAGCGACTGACATTAATTCACCTCGTGGCGAATCCTTTGTCAGCGCCGGGAGAAGACTGATTCGATCGGCAGCTGTGCTTACCGGGCCGAGCCACGCGCGCATTTCCATGAAATTCAAGATACAGTAAGGCTCGGATTCGATCACCTATGCATCGGTAATTTTTCTACAACAGACAGGTCAGAATATTTCTTTGAATAATATCTTCAAATATTACTATACTTTGCGATTTCACTAATTTCACTCGTATCGTTCGTCGTACTGTTTCCTCGTCGCAAAACCATCGTTGTTTCTACTGAAAGATACAATATCCGTTATTGGGAAATTTCTTCAAACGTAATGATTCGAATGTAACATCGAAACGTCGCGTTTTCTGAATAAACTTCTAATCCAAACCTTACTGTATGCCAAATTCTCTGAAAGTCTCGAAAGACTGTTTTCACGTTTCACTGTTTCGCATTTCGTATTTCGTATTTCGTATTTCATGTTTCATATTTCAAGAGCAGAATAGTCGTGCGCGCGTGCTTCGCAGCGTATACCGCGACGAAACCGTCGACTCTAATCTCCGTACGTCAGGACCATCTTCGGGCTGTCAAAAGAGAGAAAGTTAACCGAGGGAATCGATCGATACGAAAGAATCGAACAAGAGTATATCGGAGAATCGAGAATATATGTTGGTGCTGCGTTTACGGAGCGTTAGATCTGTGTAAACTCCAAGCTTGCGCCGATGATGCATGTTGTGCTTAAGCGACTACCGAGGTGATGGTGTAATATGTCATCCCCTCGACGCTCTGGACGATGACCCGGAAGTTTTGTCTTTTTTCTATCGTACCAGCGAGCCATGGTACACCCGCGGTGTTTTTTCACTCGGCTTTCTCCGGGGCTCGTGACTTGTTTTTTTTCTCGTCCTGTTTCCTTTTTTGCCAGACGAACTCTATATGTATGTTGGTTTCAGAGCCACGTCAGAACTGCTAAGAGCACAGTAGACCGCTTACACACACGTACTCACACACTTGCCTACCTTCTTAACGCTACTTCTCTCTTCGTTTTCTTTCTTCGTTCTCTCTGACGATCTTTACTTTCTTTCGACGCCCACGCGTATCTCGTTTCCTTTTCCTCTGTTCTCCGTTCTCTGTTCTCTGTTCTCTGTTCTCCATTCTCCGTTCTCCGTTCTCTGTTCTCTGTTCTCTGTTCTCTGTTCTCTGTTCTCTGTTCTCTGTCTGTCGACAGCCTGTGACTCCCTTAGCAGATATTTGTCCCGTGATTGTGCAAGGTGTTCAAAACAAAGAGTCGCATTGGTAAAGACTGTGTTTGTCTTCCGCTTTGCTTGAAAATTATTCGTTCGCTTGTACGAATCCACCGGTAGAATCATTTCTGCTCGAAATTCTATGTAACCTGTGAAAATTCACTGTAAATCGTCCAGTTAATACTCCGAGACTCTTCTTCCGTACGATGAAATTAGAAGAATGAACAAGTATGAATCACAATTGGTATTTACTGGTATTCGTTTGGTTCTCTGGAATTTCTTGAAACGTACAGTGTAACGTTTACGGTAACTGTTTTAGTCGAGGTCTCATACTAGAGAGTTTACGAAAGAAGAATATTCTAGTAAGTATAGAGTACACGCACACACACGCACACCAGAACAGAAAAGATATCGAATAATTTTCAAATGAATCGAAAGACAAGAGGAATTAATCTGTTCTGAGAAACCGTGGATTTTTTAGCAGCCTGTGTATACACGCCGTGTACATCTTCTAAAGTCAGACGGAAGTTTATCGACTGCATCCAAGCTTGCAACAATGTTCCTTTGCCCCGTGTTTGTAACGAGCAAACTGTTTTGCAAGAGGATTTGTACTTGTGTACCTGGTTAATTACACCGAAGCCTGATATCGTCTGGTCAGCAGTTGATCGTACGTTTCCTAGGAGTATTCTACAGAGCGAAATCCAGAAAAATGTCTCGCAAATTGTCGATTCACGAGCACACCGACCTGCTGCCCCCCTTCCTCTCTATTCTCTCGGACCTTATCGGCTTTCCAGCTTTTGCATCCGAACTATGCAGCTTCTAACTCTCTCATCACTTCGATCTGTACGAGTTTGTTCGTTTTTCGCATTCCGCCCTCCGTACCGAGTGTGTGTCGTCGGCGAGTATGGTCAATCGAGGAGAGGAGCGTCTAATGAAATTTTTATTGAAGCCCCTTTTCGTTAAATGTTCTCTTCTCCTAGTTTCGTCTGTAACAACTTCCTTGCCTCGCTACGATTACTGTACAGCTGTTGCGTCAGACGAACGGAATACGGCGGATATCACGGGGAAGTTCCCTCCACCGAAACCGAAGCAAAAAGAAATAGAAATCCTTCTCTTCTCCGTGAACCGGAGAACGGTCACGTTCCGAGTTAACGTTCGTCAACGATGCGTTTTTAATCGATCTATTTGATTCTCCAATGAAAACAGCAGCAACGATCCTCAGTTTAATTGGCCCCGCGACGGTCTTGTTCCATAATAGAAACTGTGGCTGGTCTTTCCGACACGCTTTCTCTGTCCGACATACAACCGTTGAAACACAGCGGAGAGAAAGAAAGGAATACTGAACATTTTACAGTTATCCAACAACGAACGTCGTCATTTGGGAACGTCGCCGCAAGCTGCGTCATCGGCACAACTTTTACACACTACTACCACTACTGTATTATTACTACTGATTACTTGTTACTACTGCAAACCTACCATTCTCGTGTGCAATCCACAGCCCAATTATTCTATTTCTCTTGAAAATTCACCGATCCGACCCCTCCATCCACGCTCCCTTAATTGCCATCGTTCCGTCGATATGTTCAATAATACAGACGCAACCTCCTCCTCGAAACTAGTTGAAACCAATCCTGTCTTTGTTGCAGATGGACGTGAAGTCTGTCGGATCGTTCTACTACGAGAACTTTGTAAGTGCAGAATCTAACCATTGATTCATACCGTTTACGCAGTATTTCATTCGCACAGTTCGTTACTCGAAGTCCATTCTATTTAAGTACAACTGTCCCGAAACAGACGAAGCAAAGAACACGAAACAGAACCAGAACGATTCGAGTGCGAATCGACGTGAACGCACCGTTTCTCTAACGACTGACTCTCTCGAGCAACTGTACCGTTTCCTTCGAGCATTTCTTGCAACGAGCTGCAAGCGGTGTATCGAGGATACCTTTAAAATCTTTGTCGAGTTAAGTAATTTATCGGTAATGCTGCCTCCTCGTACGCAAATCCCGTGGGAGGCAGTTTTCTCGCGTCATTGGACCGCGGAACCGTTACAAACACGAAACCGTAAATTCGAAGAGGTAAACGGAAAAGGAAGGGGAAAGAAAGGGAAAGAAAGGAAAAGAGAAATCGAGGCCCCTCTTAAACGTATCTGCCCTTCCTTTTGCAGGTCTTCCCAGGAATGGTTCCGTATAAACGACCGGCGGGCGACAAGTCCGGCATGCCGGTCTATCAGCCTACCGGCGCGACGACCTATCAACAGTTAATGCAGCTGCAGCAGCCCTTCGTGCCTGTGTCATGTGAGTACACTGGAACACCACCCCTACCCACCCAAACCTCTAACCAATCGGTCGTGCAACCCCCGAACGTGCAAAGCAACCACCACGCGGTGGTGGTTCAGTCCTCCTCCTCCTCCCAGGGTACCGGTGGCGCCACAGTCAATAACTGCGCCGACGCCAACAATGGCGTGCTGATGGATCCTTGCAACAACCCACCGCCACCGCCTCCAACTGCTGACAATAACAGTAACAATAGTAACGGCAATAACAAGCAGCCGAATGCGACGCAGAATCACGACGCCGAAAACGCGCATAACTCCCCCGAATTGAATCACTCGAGTCCCTCGACGATCGCTCAGCAGCAAGCCCAGCACCAGCAGACGCAGCACCAACAGCACCAACAGCAACAGCAACAGCATCAACAGCATCAACAGCATCAACAGCATCAGCAGCACCAACAGCATCAACAGCACCAACAGCAGCAGACTCAACAGCAGCAGCAGCAGCAACAGCAGCAGCAACAACAACAGCAGCAGCAGCATCAACAGCAACAGCACCAGTTACAGCAGCACCAGCAACAGCAACACCAGTTGCAACAGCAGCAACAGCAAATACAGAACCAGTTGGCGTTGTCCGCTGCTTCCGTGCAGCCGGCGATGAGTCCACTGACTTCGGTCGCTGGCCTGACGTCCATGCCCGGTGTAGTCAACATGGTCTCCATGGCCTCTATGGCCTCCATGGCGTCCATGTCGAACGTGCCGTCGGTGACGAATATGGCGTCAATGTCGAACTACAACCCCTCGAACGTCGCCAGTCTAAACATGCTGAACAGCCTCGGCATGGCGTCCGGGCTGCCGGCTCATCTCGACCCAGCCGCTCTGGCGAAGGAGGTTGCCCAGAAGAATTTCACGAAAGCCATCAAATTTTCGCAAGCGTCGCAGTCGTATCCTATCAATCAACTGACGGCGTTGAATTACACCGGAGTAGCTTTGAACAAACAGGCCTTGGTGAATCCCGCAGCCGCGGCCGCGGCAGGGAATCCGGCTTTAGCTGGGCTGCAAGCCACGGCAGCGACGCCCAGACCAGTCATCCCGAACCTAGCCAGTATTCCAGGGGCCCTGACCTCTCCGCTATCGGCGGGGATTCTCGCCTACTCGAGACCTCCGGCGGGCACTCATATCAATCCTTACTCCCTGATGAGACAGCAGATCCTGCCGAATCCTTACGTTCAAGCCTCGATACCGACCGTTCCCAGCGCTGCCGCTGCCGCGGCGGCCGCCGCGGCTCAGGGCAACCCGTACGTGCAGAACCCGTACACGGTCCTTCCCGGTGTCCCCGGAGTCGCTGCCGGCGTAGCGGCCGGCGTACCGAGTGTGTCGCAAATTCCACAAATTCCGAATCCGGCTACCATCGCGGCGCAACCGCAAGTAGCGATCCCCGTCAGTTCCGGCGTGATCATGCAGCCGTACAAAAAGATGAAGACCTCGTAAACTGTTTGTTCGAGAACAGGAGAAGAGAGACGCACTGTCTTCTCTTCCCGTTGAACGTTCTGGTTCCTTCTTCTGGGCCCTTCGCATTCTCTCTTTCGCTCGCGGACGCCACGCCGTCGGTCTTCAGATTTCCCGGTCCTTTGGCTCTTTTAACTCTCACGCGGGAAACATCTGCGCTCGACAGTTCGAGGAACGTGAAATATTTACAGATTTGTTCGCGCGACGTCGCTCTCTATCTCTTTCGTTTCATTCTAGAAGCAGCGTGAAATTTCATTTTCCACGGATATTTCCAAGGATATTTACACTTTCCCGAAAGTCACATACGCTCTTTTTCAAGTTAAACAACGTTCGCTTACTTTCTCTTAAGCGGCGGAAGAGTTATTTGCAATTTGAAAGATTAAAGTTTCATTCGGGCTCAGAGATGTCGCGCAGAAATCTCGCGACTGTCGAGTAACGTGTCGCGTTCGCATGGACAACCGAGTGAGAGTTAACGGTTGATTTCGAAGGAATTATCTTTTTCATTTGTAGCTTAAGACGATAGGGATCGTAATAGTAGATTGTTAGTCGAATAAATGACGAGAATAAATACTATATTCAGGAATTGAGCGAACCGAAGCGTAGAAGTCGTACGCGATTCCTGTCCATGAAAGGGAGAATACTAAGCAATGCGCTACTTCGGGCGGATGCGAACTAAACGATGAAATGTTAAAGGAGACGAGGAAAAATTAAGAAAGAAACAAGAGTTCCGGAAAATAGATTCATTTTCTAGTCAGACATTGTCGGTGAACAGTGCCTTATTGACCCGATTCCACTTTGAAGCGTTTCGAACTATCTAATGAATAACGACACCAAGACTATTTCAGTCATCTTGGATTTCTTCGTTTCCGTTTGAGGATTAGTTAGAGTTTCAATAGCCCGAAACGTCGTCCATCAGCGGCGTGTTTATTCGGTATTTCAGGTTTTCGTACCTATACGGATGAACGTCTGTTAAAGTGGATCTATAAAGACTTGCCAGAGTTGAACTTTGCGTACCGCACGAGTCATCGGGATTTTTCTTAATAATTTCTCCGTTCTTTTCTCCTGACGCTGTTCAGTGGTTCTCGGCTCAGGAGTTTCTAGAGGCTAGGATCTCTGGACACTCGGAGCTGAGAATTTCTCGGTCGTATCAGTTGTCGAGCAGAGAAACGGTTTGAACTTTGTTGAACACTTTTATCGCGACTTGTTCCTTGTTTAGTTTATTATGTATTATTTCGGTTGTTGCGACGGTATTCGAAAGAAATGTCTCTTTGAAATTTTATTGCATCTTTCTTGAATTTCTTATATTTTATACGCGTGTGCGCGTACGTATACGTGTACGTACGCGTGCACGTCTAAATAGAGATACGGCAAAATGAACGGAAACGATGCTCGGCCTAAGTCACACGTTCACGTGCGCGATACTTGCCTTTTTAAATCCGTAGAGTTAAAACGTATCGAAGCCCAGTTGGCTGTTGCGACGTCCATTTTTAAGTTTCCCGATCGATTGCCCGCTATTGGAAATCGATCGATTTTATTCACTATATATATATTGTTCGTTTACCGTTTTCTCAGATTTTAATTTCAATCGTTTAACGTGTAGATTACATTGAAGAAAACTGTGAAGGGGGAGAGGTGATTACGGGAAAAGAAAGGAACGAAAGGAACCGAGGAACAGGAAACTTGTTAATTTCATTATCGGCAGGTCTTGGAAACCTCTAGAGTCGATCGTACTTTTCAACTTATCCTTTTATTTCGTTCGTTCGTTCGTCATTGGTTCACGACGTTCGATCTTGACCTAGAAACAGTTCCACCGATCCGCCACCTCTGCCCTTTCCATTTAATTTTAGGAACTAATTCAACTATAGTAACGTATGTTTCCTAGAAACACCTTGCACATCGATGAAATTGAAATGGAAATGCCGTCGAGTTCGTGGCGGTCCTTTTAATTCGTATATATATATATATATTATATATAAAATTAACGTATGCATAGACTTAGCAGAAACATCGTCCTATCTTATTTTATCTAGGGCTATAATAATATTATTATTATTGATGATGATGATGATGATGATGATGATAATAATATTGATAATATCGATAATATTAATGATATTAATAGTATTGATAATATTGATAATATTGGTAATATTGATAATAACGATATAATGTTAATAATATATTTATCTGGATAGCACGTAAATAGCATGTGAAACACTAGGCGTCATCCTTCTGTCCTTTGTGGATTCGATTCGGGGGAGTTCGTTGCGCACAGTGAACCTCGTCGATTGCAACTTTCGAGCTTACGCATTTAGTCGAGAGAAGAGACGATTACGAGAGAGCGAGCCTAAGCGGAAATCAGAGTAAACAAGTGACGGATCGTTACATGCATTTACCCGAATTTGCGAAACGGAACGACAGAGAACACGAAGAATAGTAAATAACGAGGAGACTGACCTTGATAGAGGGGATGGAGGAACGCGAGAAACTAGTAACCGATCAAAGAAAAGTGAAAACCAGTTCACATGCGCACCAAATCACACGCTACCGCACAAAACTGTTTCAAAGCTGACACACACCAACACTCTACAGAGGTCAACACACACGCATACGCGTTGACGTTATTTAGTAATTGTGCATTTCTTACCGAGAACAAGAGTAAACGTCCGAGCGGAATAACGATGTAACGAGACCGGTCACTCTCGGATCAAATGGAAATCTCTGTTCTGTGTATTCGTATACTTGTTTGCCAGTGATTTGAAAGTCCGTTTTAAAAACAAGACGATAGTACCGACGAGGATGGATATACGTGTATTATATTTAACTATATTATAGATCTATGTACGTAAAAGTAAGGATTTTCTTTACACGATTGACAGGGCGAAAGGAACCGTGCCACGCGCACGAATCGTACTATTACTTTCGAATCGAATCGTACTATTACTTTCGCGTCAAATTCATTTTCTTTCAACTATCGAATAAGCTTGCAATTTCTTAGTGTACATGCTCGCATATGTACATAGAAATGAGTAGGAATGAATTGTTACTTGTATACATAAGGGAGGATTGAAGAGTTCTTTTAACACGGGCTTCGAAGAGGCTCGAATCGCCTAAATTCGAGCGGCCTAATTTCAAACCGTACTATTGCTTCGGAACCTTTCCGTTCTTTAATCCGGAATTTCGTGAAAATCTCGCCGTTGCCACGGTTCCCTTTGCTCGCACGCGACAGACAAAGGCATCTTCTCCGTCTGAATCGCGAAGACACAGCACACGTTGCACGGGGCGCGCTCACACGCACAAAACGATCATTTTGTGGCAAGCACGTCGCTACCTTCTGACTGGAATATTGTTCAGGAAACACGGTCTTCCATAGCGGCAGAGTGTACGGCGGTTAATTTTTCTATCGTTTACCGAACAAAATAGACCGGAGAGGCTGTCTTTGACCTGCGCTAGCTGAAATACCTCTAAAGGCGATACGTTGTGATAGTTTTCGATGTATAACTATCGAATACGTTTATAGATGACACTTGATACTCGTCTTGTACACGTACCACACACACACACACACACACATGCAAAAACACGTACATATACATTATATACAATATACAATATACATATTATATATATATACATATAACGATGAACGACGATTCGTGAATAATTTCGAGCGGCCTCCTAAGACAGACAAATTCAGTTGTACACTTGTCCTTCGATTTCTAAAGACTCACGCGTACGAACCGATGACTCTAGGGTTCCTTGTCTTGTTCACACTTGTACACTATCGAGAGGGTGGCTGATTTTTCTGGAATCCACGCCGGAAACAGGAACCGCTGGCTTTTCCTACCCAGACGAATACACTTTCTTGTACATTTTTCAACGAAAACTATACTTCAGTTGTCAGAGAATTCGCGAGACAGTTTCACCGAGTCTTTTAACGAGTGCAACGAGTATTCGAACAGATCGGAATGTAAGAGAAACGATGCGTTTATTCGAAATGATCGAAATCGAGTTCGATGGACAATCAGACAGAAAAGTGTACTGCCGGTTCCGAGTTTTCCGGTGGGAGACCAAACGAAAAACAGCGGAAGTGCCTTCCCCCTGCACTCGTACACCATCGCACACAAAGAACACACGTGTACCATCGGTACCCGATTAATTCGACGAGAACACGTAACAAAGCACTATGTCTGATTTACTTACATGATACATATAATTATATTTATATATAAATCTATAGATATAAATACGAGGAAAAGAAAAGAAGTCGTATGATATACATTATCCACGTTGCATATAGATATCGTGCAACGAAGAGAGAAAGGTAGACGCGAATCGCAGATTAACCGACTTGTCGACATAACGGACGAATGATTTATTTCGCGACTTATGGTATATAATAACGATACAATGATACATTAAACTGTCGCGTAAGGGTTCGAAACCCTCGAGCGACGAGAACAGAAACTACGTATATTACATGGACATAGATAGTAATTTACAATTATGTACCGTTTCGTCCCGAATCTTTCGTTTAGATGTTACGTACGTACACACACGAACACGCGTGGACACTATCGTTGCGTGAGTCTACGCATGTGTGCACGCGCTGTTACGAAAGATGCGTAACTCGGAAGGAGAGGAGATAGAGGAAAGCAGAAGATACGTGTATAGAAAGTTTCGATTGTATAGTTGCGTTCGAAGAGAGACTCGTGTACGATCTCAAACTCTTGTATGCGTGTAGACGGGTGTGCGACACAGACACTATGGAAACAGAGATACGGAGACGGAGGACACGGAGACAAGGAGGCACACAGCAAACACACCACACACACGCGCGCGCGCGTTGCACGATATCGCGTAGAGAGCGTAACAGAGCCGCGTGCTGCGAGAAGACGTCTTACGAGACTGTCACGTCGTCCATTTAATCGAGGAAACGGATCGAGTAGGAGATCCAGCCGCGTGTAGTCTGCGTCATCGAGCCGTTCAAAAGAAATAGGGTTTCAGCTAAAATGTTGAACGAGTGTGAAACGATTACTTAAAGAACACAAGAACAGCAAAGAGTTCAGAAAGAAATCTGAAACGAGTCTTCGAAGGTCCCGAATGCGTTTTCGCGCGTGCACGCTCACGGGGTTTGTCAAGGAGTCAGCCAGTATTTGTAATAATAATGCTTGAGAAATGCATGAATATTTGTTTTATTAATGCTTCTTCTTATTTCATCTCTTTCTATCGAAACAGAATTTCCCAAAAACTCGCTA